GCACATTACCATCCAGTTCTCCATGATCGGATCGACAATGAATGACGTTACCTTTAATTGCGTTCGACAATTACATACAACAATGAAGCGTATGAAATGAAAAAAAGAAGAAACGAAGGAAAGAGATCAAAGCAAAATCTCACCAGCCCATGGTATTTCACTACCTCCCGTCGCCAAACCTCATGAAATCCTAATGAGCCATTCGTTTTGCCAACTCTATAAATTTAATATTGACACCATGACATCTGGAAATCCAGATAATATTTGATGAAAAGCTTCACGACGACAGGGAACGAGATCCTTTTCCCCCAAATTGTAGTCATATTACATGCATCACATCCCAAGCGTTTTTGATCAAGCATTACTGGGCAAAAATTTTGGTCAAAAAATATAGCTTACTAGCGCCTGGATTTACTAATGAGCAACTAGAGATGCTTTCTCGAACAAGCATTCAGTCATTGTGACAGGTTGATGGTTACGATGAAAAAAATATGCAAACTGATTGGCCTAATGGATTCACAAAGTTTTAGGTGAGACGGAAGAAGATGGTAAATAGACTGATGAAGTTGTGGGGGCAGAATGGACGGTAGAAAGGAGGCGCGTCACACAACAGCTCTTGAAGAGGGTCATTCTAGTCAAATGTCTTCGTCACGTGGCTCACCCTCCTGCTCAGCTTACCTGTGCATATTCCCCAACCGTTCTGTCTACTCTGGTTGAGTTTTCTCGATTTCTACTCTATTTGTAATCAAACTCGCATAGCTCCCCTTTTACGCTATCCTTATCCACGCCGAGTTTTCTCAAGCTCTCCTCTCGCTACTGATCTACTTCAATGAAGCCACTGTAAGATTTCCTACGATGGATGCATGCGTTCGTCGACGAAAGCCACACATAAACTCTCAGCCAATGATTCCCAACAAGTATTACCTCAGATCAAGACAGTAAATTGCACCGTGATGACTTCGGAAGATAAGTAACATTGTTTGACACATGGATCTGTTCAGGTGCACCCTCGAGTTTAGGTAGTTGAACCTGGAAATGTTCCAGAAATCTGACCGCTGTTATTGCTTTCCATTTCCGAACCTGCATGCTTCTCACCCTCACAAAGACATTCAAGCAAAACGAACCTTCGTAAGGATTCGTGGTTCGCTAGCTGCGCAATCGACCCAGAGAACGTGACCGTCGCCGATAGCTGCCGCGATGATTTCGTTGCTAGCCCAGCCAATCGACGAAACTGGGTAGTCTAGAATTGCGATTTAATTATCGTCGCCCGATATAGGTATAGCGGCTGGCACCGCTTATCACCACATACTATGAGGATCAGATTATGAATCAAGGCCAAAGAAACCAACTCTTCATCCCTCGGGAGCCAGTAAATTGATACCAGACTGGTTCGGCGGTAGAGGGGGGGGGTAAGGGAACAAAACGCAGGGTTGCACAGCAGTTGGCCAACAAGTAGGCAAGTAGGTAATTTTTAAGAGCCAAAATGCATTCATAAGTCAATAAGACCCAGAATGGAAGTGGAATGCGGGGCGCATCCCAAAAGGAATGCTCACAGGCGGATTTTACGATGACAAGGCAGCCCACTGGAAGTGGAATATAAACGAAAGAAGAAAAAACTGAGAAAAATGGTCCAGAACCTGAGAATGGTAACCGTTCCTTGCCGTTGATTTGCGCATTGATGCGACTCTCATCGGTGCTGCCCTCTTCAACGCTAACGCTCTCTCTGCTAAACGGCTAGAGACTCAGACACGAGAAGCGAGAGAGGGCGTACCGCGCCAACTGCGCCGCGAGGAAGGCCATGCTAGATCGCCGGGGCATATCCTTCGATGCGAATTGCGTGTCGGTCCGCACCCTTAGGAGGACGCCCGTCTCTCCACTAGGTAAGTTTCCCTTTCTTCGACCTTCGCCTTTATTGTGGAATCTTCCTTCTAGCGTAACGGTTATTCTTATCCTTTTTTAATGCAAAACCCACTTTTGTTATACAAGAACGAGGCATCTGATCTAACAGATGGCGCAGGGCCATCTCCAACAACGTTTCGCGAATTCCACAGTAAAACGTGACCATCAAGAGATGCCGACGCGAATCGAGTCCGGTCTGGTTGCACAGCCAATCTGAAAAGCTGCTAGCATAACATTGTCAAACAAATCGAGCTGCATTAGCTAAGTCGAGAATTTCAAGAAGAAAGCGTAGAATTAGTATCATGTTCAATAAAAAAACCAACTGGGTAACTTTGTCCGTGTGCTCGTGTAAATGTGTCAGCAACGTACCCGTCACCTTCGAATTCGACGGCACTGGTCGAGAGCTCCTAAAAACTCCGGATATTGACACTACTTCGCGATCAATGAGTAACTGCAAAATGAGTAAAATTAGCAGGATGGTTGGCAGAAAACGCGACGCATATCAAACTTGTGGGATGTCTTAAAGACAAGATTCGGGATAAAATAGGTGTGGAAAAGCGTTTAGTTATGAAGCTATAGGTGGGAGGTGGTCTATTAAAGAGA